CGCTCAATCCACTCAGCGTGCTTTGCTTATCAGCTCGCGCACATCAGCTATACAGGTGTTAATACTGAATGTTTAACATTATATTCATTGCATACATATACTTCGTAGACATCCTAATCTCTAATAACTTCATTCTGCTGTCTGTTGTTCTTTTGTCAGTGTTTCTTTGTGTGAATATGGCACTTATCACATGCTGTGTGGTATCGGCGTTTGGTATCGGGGCATTTTAACGAGTACGAGTACATGAGCTCAGTATCGGGCCCGATACCGATAACAGTATCGTATCGGTGCATCCCTACAAATAACCATCACAGTTGTTGATATAGAGCCATATTGCTTTATCTTTGGTATCTCCTCTGTAGACATCTTGAGTAAAACAGGAGCAAAACACCTGAACGAAAGTGATGTGACCTGTTTTCAAGTAGTGCGGAAATTTTTTGCGCAAAATTACTATGATTACAAAATTATGACAATTGTTATAATTTAAAAACGCATGTGGTTCTTTTCTTTAAAACAATTCTAGTAAATATTCCCAAAGTACACACTCTTAAAAAGTTATAGGGAATATTATGGTAGCATAACTATCTTTATACTACATACTAATATACAATTAATTTCCTTATTAGTGTACTAAAAAAGAAGATACGAGAATGCAAGTCAGGCCGCTTCATGGAGAAAGATAAGCGGATCATAGAAGAACTGAAAAGTCTTCACTGTGATCCCCATCCATTTTGTTCTGTGTATCCCTCAGAAACCGACTTCAGTAAGTATGAAAGACAGTTCATGCTTTTTCTCCTGCTGTTAGATTTTCATGCATGAAGTGTACAAATAGTTCCTAACATCAGTAATTGTTAATAATTTGATCAATATTTAAATAATAATGAACAATATCAGTAACGGGGGGGCATACACCAAACTAGGTTGCTTGCTTACATATCTTTACAAAACTGGCCTAATGTTTTTGATACTTGACTAATTGTGAGGCAGTTAATTTTTTACTATACAGTATGTAGTCTAAAATGTACATTCTCTAACCACCTTACACTTCCTGTTTATGGGTAGAGGCTTCTTTGATCTGTATTGCTCACATAAACAGCCATAATCCTCAAAAACCTGGTAACGCATTCATTGGTTTGAGTATCTGCCACTTAATCCTCGGATATAGTGTCAGTTGCTTCCTCTAATTAAATGTAGTCAGAGTTACACATACAAGTAAACTGTACAATAAAGTTGTCATGCATTTAATTTTTTTCAGCTTTTTGGAGGATTGTCATGAAAGGACCGCCTGAAACTCCCTATGAGAACGGAACCTTTGAGCTGTATTGTCAGTTTGGTCGTGATTATCCAGTGAAACCACCTGTTGTTCGGTTCTATACTCCTGTATCCTGAAGCCTTAGAAGTGTCACAGTAATTTTCAGAAACTGATTTCTGTTTTTGATTAATATATTAAGAGTAGAGCGCAGAACACCTTAGCATTTTGTACTCTATAAATTCTTAACTGCAGTACAGATTTACCATTGCAACATCAACAGTGTGGGAAGGATTTGCCACAACATATTTGATCGAAACTACTCAGCTGATGTTACTATGAGAGAGATCTTGGATGCTGTATATGGACTTCTGATACTCCCAGAGGCTGATGATCCACTAGACAGGTAGCCTCTTATTCGTCATCTGGTGTTTTTTTTTTTCATTACCATTTTAAATCTCAAAGTTTTTTATTATTATTCAATGGACTTAACAAATCTAATATAATCAGAACAGAGATTAAAGCCCATTCAAGTTGTAAAATGCATTACATTATTTAGCATTGATCCGATTCTAAATAATGTAATAAACTTAAGGATACAACAAATAATGAATGAATACATGTATTTTTGTCCACTGTCTATCGTATCTTCAGCATATTAGCAGAGGAATTCCTGACTAGCAAAGAAATCTATGAGCAGGCAGCTAAAGATGACACTGCAGTAAACGCATGTCAGTCCATGGAATCCATTGAAAAGGTACATTCTGTTTCATTCAGTTATTACCAACAAATGATGTCCAGAATTTTTGTCAAAGAGGAATCATGTTTATGAATCTTTAAGGACACGCTGTCTACAGTAATACAGTTTTAAATGTCTTAAGCACAAATAAAAAAATATATTTTTAAAGAGTGAAAATATGAGATTAAGAATATAGAAAGGTACTTGAGCAGCCCCCTTCTCAATATTTCAACAGGTTATAATTATATTTAATCATGTAGCAATCTGAGCTCTGTACACTTGTAGTAAATTAAATTGTGAATAATTCCTATATGCACATATTTGTTAGGATATTATCCTGTTTTATATTTATTTAAAAAAATTCACCTATGATTATTTATTTTTCGCATTTCAATCTGCTTTTCAGCAATACATAGGTGAGAGCAATGTTCCAGTGCCTCCTCATCTGGTATGTCCCTTGTCAGGGAAGATATTCGTTGATCCCGTCAAGACCAGAGGTGGATGCGTGTATGAGCGAAGAGCCATTGAGGAATATCTTAAGACGTAAGATTCAGTAGATTAGTCTCTGAAAAAGTACATTTGCGTTACATTGATATTTATTCATAAGAGTGGTTTACAATTTATTTGTGTTAGTGCATTGAGAGTTCTGAGTTGGGTGCTCAGAGAGGAATTGTCTTGTTTCTTACTGTTCATGAGGAGTTGCACCATTGAGGGAAAGTGAGTTTACTCCTTGAGGAAATGTTATGGTATTCACCCACTTTCTAAATGAAACTAAGATTTGCAAAAGACGGTGATGACGAACATGAATAACAGGGTTCCTTACTAGACAGAGGCCCACAGACAAACTATTTTCATAATCCATATTATCATAGCAACAATATATGGTAATGAAATGCTATTAAAAAGGATGTTGCCTTGCATGCTCAGATCCACCTGTGGGGGTTATCAAAGGATGTCTCTCGTTTTATTGTTGACTTCTATATTGAGGAGGTGTATAGTAGAAATAATGTTTTTTGTTTTTTTTTCTCCATTTATTTTTGCAGAAACAATAATGATCCAGTTACAGGGAAGCCACTTAGTTGCACAGATCTTACTCCAGATAAGAACATGAAAAAGTCTGTTGTGGAGTATCGTACATCCCAGATAGAGGAAACAGATCCCTGAGTAAAGTAGATATTGCTTTGGTAGTGATTCAGCTGCACTATAATAATCACACAATACTCTTTATCTATCATATTCATTCTTTTGATTGTGGGACACAACTTTTTACATTTCACATGTGTAGAAATTACAAAATTCCACTGCATATTATGTTGTTCAGTTTATCTTCACTTATTTAAATATTTATCTAATTTAGAATTTTGAAGTTATACAAGAGAGGTTATAATGGAAAAAAATCTTTGATTCTCTTTAATTCACAAAGAAATATACTCAATTTTCAGTTTCTTTTAAGAAAATTAAAAATAGACATTAAAAATGTCAGAGAAACTGGTATGTATGAGGGGTAGAGTTGCTATTTAAAGTGTGCTAAATATACATTTTCCATATCAACCTGTTAGTCTTGGTTGCTTTGTTTTCTGAGGTTCCAAATAAAGTATGTATACTATGTATGCATGTTTGTATTTTATTTTATATTCAGGTCACAAATGCACATGGCACACATTTAGAAAATGTTTCATAATTTCTTTGGTTCACAGTACACTGGCTCTTCAGTGTTGGTATCACTGTCATGTTAAGTGAATGTATATACCAGGGGTGTCCAAACTTTTCCTAAAGGGGGCCGGATTCGACGATGTGGAAACACTGGGGGGCCGGATGCTTTCACCTATATATATATATGTATGTATGTGTGATGTAGGGATGCAACGATTATAGATTTTGTTGGTACGATTATTGTCTGAGGAATAATCACGGTTTTACGATTATGACGATTATTATGCATTTATTCATTTCCCAACATTACTAATGTATAAAATCACATGAACACTTTTTAGATATTAAAGTGTTATTTATTGCTGGCTTTTGAAAGTAGCAGTAGCTTGTGTTTTGTTGAGGACAAAAATCTGCAAATATCGTTTTTAAAGCTTTAATAATTATAACATTGAATGGCTTTATGGTATTTAATCTATTAACACATGATAGCACAAACTGCATCAAAAATGTCTGTAATTTGGCCTATATTTCATAACGCCCTTACATTACATTAAATTGGCCTATATGTCTACATTAATTATATAAGAAGATTCTGTATAAATATGCAACATTTCTGCCACAATACCACAGTTACGGTTACTACAGTAAATCAAAATGTTGGTGATTTGTGGATTGAAAAGTATTCTTACTGCATTGTTGTCGCACAATGTTTTTCCTATTTTCCGCGTTAGTGTTGTTGAGAATGTCAGCGCTGTTTCATCTGCCTTTGACATATGTGGTTTGTATGGAAACCTCTGCTCCAAACTCAAACGCTTCTCACAGCGCTGTTTAGTGGTCTCGTGATCGAGATCAGTCAGCGCGTAAACGCATTTGTTCTGAGCTCGCGCTACGCTGTCTTTAGGCAGAGCTAAAAACGGTCTGTGCAGCGCGGTTCAAACGAGTCGCGCTCTTCCGCTTTTGACGCGTTTAGGAATTCGCGTGCGCTAAAGAAATGAGAGCGCATATGAGTTATCAAATTGATATCACTCGCGTTTTACTGCTACATCTGGTCTAAAATTTAGTGCTGCCATCTTGTGTTGACATTTTGAAACTGCATAGGCCTATTTTGTAAATTATGCTTGGCGGGCCATATATAATATAGACTATTAAGACAGCTGCGGGCCGCTTAACATTCATCCACGGGCCGTAGTTTGGACACCCCTGGTATATACAAACAACTTTTTTTTTTAAATTAAAATGGACATTTTATTGCAGATCATAATTCATACAGTTTTCATAAAGTTAACCTACAAATGGTTTAAAGCATTGTAAACAGGGTGGAGCCGCCTCTCATCCAGGCTGGTGATAATAAATGGTGCTTGTGATCACAACAGTCTTCAACAATTAATGCTTCTGATCACATCATTCCTCATAATTGGTTTGGACAGGATGAGACCGTTCTGAATCTTCCAGGCTTTTTCATCACCTGGAGGTCGTTAATGTTAAATCTTGTCAAAGGCAACAACACCAGAAGTTGCTGCTTAGCCTGAAATCCTTGTACAACTTCCTGATTTATGTGGTTCAGGTAGGTGGTTGAATTGTCAGCGTCAATGCAACAACAAAATTCACTAAGAATCAGTATTCATCCTCCGTTGTCACACTGGTCTGTGAGCATGTTAGGAAGACCATTATAGACAATTCATTAGAGGAAAAAAATAATTAAAAGAACACAGATTGCAAGAGACAGCTGCGAGACCTCAATATTACTTCAGAACCTTTGGCTTCAGATACATAAGGAAGATCTAGACTACTCAACAGTGTTAATAAAATATATTTGCGAGTGGAACACATGAAAGCATCAAACACACAATCGTACATACTCATCTGTCTTGTCTTAGTGAAGCAACAAGTGTCTTTAACCAAACAAATGGCTATACAGACTTCCTAGAGCTGGACAACATGTCCTGATCTTCACATTCCGAATTCCATAGAGTATCTTTTCAGATCCTTCTCCAAATAATCTCAGGCAGCCTTGCACGTAACGCTCAAATCAATTCAGCAACATTCACGTGATCATTACCATTCTAACTTTTTGAACTACAGTGTTTGTGCTTTTGAATGAGGCACACTAAGAGTCCTTCTGCATCCTTCGAAAGTCCTGATTGGGTTCTCCAAAGATGAAGAACTCAACCTAAATGGATAAACAGGAAGAAATGGCACGGTTGCAGGATATAACGTAGCAGGGTTCTCATGGACTTGTTTATAGTTTTATCAACTTTGCTTAAGGTGCAGAATGATGGGAAATATACAGGCAGCGGAGGTGAATTCTGGCAGATGATGGGATAGATCTGAAACCATTAGGGAGTTGCTGCTGTTCCCCGGCCACTCTTCATCTTCTCCAGCCTTTTCGAGAGGTGGCTGTTACTGGACTCCAACTCTTCAATCTTGTCCAGTGCAGAGCGCAACTACCATAAAAAATAGTTGAGCATGCCATTCATTTTATTATATGTACATGTAAGCATAACTTTGTATATGTTTTAATGAAAGCAGAGCTATTGTACCTCTCGCTGCAGTTTGCGTTTTTCAGCTTTGAGTTCGTCCTCCACCTTCTCTGCATTTTCAGATGCAGATTTGTAACGGGTCACATGACCCTCGAGCCTTGTGACCTACAACATGAGTTTCAATTAAAAACACTTCAAATGTTTCACTATTTCATATTTTAGAAGAGTAAAATGAGTTACAATTATTAATAGTAATGAAATATATTAAAAGAACTCACATTCTGTTCAAGTGCTGTGACTTCTTGCTCTGATTTGACAAGCTTAAATTTGAGGTCATTGATTTGTCTGTTCGCATCCCCTGAAATAAGGAACATTTACAAAAGTTTTATTTATAAAGTGCCTTTCCCAAGCTCAAGGTCACTGCACAAGGAGAAAATACATAAACACAGCTTTAATCATAAATTTATGTGATGGTATACAGTACATACATATACACATACATACATATATTAATACACAGTGACTTGACAGCAAAACCAGAAAGCACAACACAAATACCCAGTAGTTTCACAGCAAAACATTAATCAGAAGGTGGCTGGAAATACTGTAAGAAACAATAGGTTTTTAGTTGAGATATGAATGATATCAGTGTCGCGAAGAATTGGTAGAAGAGAATTCCAGCGTTTCGGAGCTACAGCACTGAAAGATCTACCACCCATTGATATGAGACGAAATGAGGTACAGTAAGCAGGTTTGAATCAGATGAATGAAGAGAGCGAGAAGGTCTATAATAATAGTGCAGCAGTTCAGATAGATAATGGGGAGCAAGTCCATGAAGACATTAAAAAGTTAACAAAAGAATTTATACTGAATGCGAACAGAAACAGGCAACCAATGTAGATTATAAAGTAATGTGTCACATAATAAACTAAATTGCCCACAAGTAGAATCATTTGTTGTAAAGTATATAAATAAATGTGGCCACATTATGGAGGTAATTTGTTCAGACTTTTTGACTTGATTGATGAACTCTTAACGGCAGAGTTTTGAACATACTGTAGCCTAGTAATAGTTTTAGCTGGCAGTCCAATGAGAAGTGAGTTATAGTAATCAAGGCATGAATGAGAGTTTCAGTGTCTTTGGTACTGAGAGTAGGACGCAGACAGGCAATATTGCGGAGGTGGTAAAATGGTAATAGAACTAATATGAGATTGGAATGTAAGTGACGAGCCAAATATTACACCCAAATTTCTAATGGAATAAGATGGTGTTAACAAAGCCCCATCAATGGAAATACTCAGTTCAGACTTTTCAAGAGAGATGGTGGACCAAATACAATAAACTCAGTTTTATTGTCGTTTAGTTGTAGGAAGTTGCTATGTAACCATATTTTAATGTCAGCAATACAGGCATTCAGTGAATTAAGTGAAAGAGTAGAGGCGGAGCGACCTGATATGTAAATTTGCAGGTCATCAGCATAACAATGACCGTAGCTATGGATAATTTGACCAAGGGGAAGCAAATAAATGTTGAACAGGAGAGGTCCAAGAACCGAGTCTTGAGGGACACCTTGAGAGAGTGAACAAGACGACGATTTAAAGTTTTGAACACTAATAAAAGATAAGTTTATCCAAGAGATATGATATAAACCAAGACATAGCAGTACTCGTGATGCCAATAGCTGATAGCCGAGAAATAAGTATATGATGAGATACGGTTTCAAAAAGCTGCTGTTAAATCCAGCAAGATAAGAACAGTAATACAGCCAGAATCAGCAGATACTAAAAGGTCATTGGTAATTTTTAGCAGTGCTATATCAGTGCTGTGGCCTGATTGAAAACCACATTGATAGGGGTCAAGAAGATTGTTGGCAGAGAGCTGTGCTTGTAGCTGCAAAGCAACCACTTTTTCAAGCAGTTTGGAAACGAAAGGAAGATTAGATATAGGTTTGAAGTTATTCAGAACAGATGAATCTAGTCCAGGTTTCTTTAAGATGAGAGTGACCACAGGCATTTTTAATGAAAGCAGAACAGACCCGGTGTTCTGTCGATTTGTGCTACCTTGTCAGATTTTGCTACCTCCCATTAAAACAGTAGGTAGTACAATTCAACAACGAAAAATGCTACCAGTCAAATTATGGTTTATTAACATCTACACCTACCCCAACCCTAAACCTAGCCTTACAGTAATGCAAATACAGTAATTGTGTTATTCATGGTTGTGGTAAGAAGGGATACAGCTACGGCCGGAAACCAAAAAAAAATTAGTCTATTAGATTGTGTTTTAGTAACATCTACACCTACCCCAACCCTAAACCTACCGCTTACAGTAATGCAAATACAGCAATTATTGTTGTTCAGCATGAGAAAAATGACTCAATATTCATGTGTGCATGCGCAGTAAGGCCTGGTAGGACAATCAGACAGGTAGGATAAAATGTCAGGACACCGGACCACATTTCTCAACATCTGAAGCTGAGGGTCTTATGTGCTCTGGCAATAAACCAAGGCCCGTATTCACAAAACATTTTATCTTACCACTAAGAGTTCTCCTAAATAGCAGTAAGAGTTTTTAGCTAGGAGTTTTCTCTTAAAACCTATTCACAAAGCTGCTGAGACAAACTTTTACTAAGGAATAGAGGGAAGTCTTAAGCTAAGAGTAAGAGCGAGGTTGACCTCGTTGCTATGGATGATGTCAGCATGCTTACTAACTATGCACACAGTGATTGGCTGATAGGGGAGGGGTCTCTGTCAGAGATTTATTCATAGAAATATTGTAGAGAGCAATGTTATGTTGCCATATTTAAATAAAGGTTTAAAAATAAAAATATTGCCACATTCAAATAAATATTTTCAAATGCAGGCTAAGTGTCACTAATTAAACAAGTATATGTTCAGCTAATTGTCAGCCTCTTACATGTGTGCTTCTCATAAACAGTTAGTGGATATGCATATAAACAGCCTTTTAATTAACAGAGTAGAATAATCACGGCTGATAGTAAGACATGCAAACATAAAAGAAAACCAAACTGGACACAAGCACAGCTGAAAACACACCACAGGAAACCATTTTTTAAATGGTTTTAATGGTTAAAAGCTGATGGTTTGTTATGTTTGTAATGGTATTTGTAGTGGAAACCATTAGCATCATTAGCATTGTTTGTATTGTTTTCTCAGCAGAGAGGATAGTTTGCGATTTGGGCTTAGTGACTTAGGAGACTTAGGAGTTATTTCTAACATTTCACAGATTTAGGAGCTAGTTTCAGCGCTAAAACGCTTTGTGAAATACTCTTATAGCAAAAATGTAGGAGTCCTACATTTAGGATTGACACGCCCATTATTTTTAAGATTTTCTCCAAAATCGGCAAGTTATGAGCTACTTTTAGCCTTAAGATGTTTTGTGAATACAGGCCCCAGATCTGTTAAAAATGATAAAAATGATTGTAATGAACATTGTGAGCTGAAGACAGTTTCTAAAACCTTTGCCCTGAAGCTGACCGAGTTGACCGAGTGTCTTACTCTGTATATCCATGATGTTGGAGTCAGCACCGTTCTCCAGCACATCTCCCTCTGGGCTGGACGAATCCTCCATACCATTCTTCTGTTTCTTCTGCTCAAGCTGCCCTTTCAATCTCTTAACCTGAATAGAAAAAAACAGAAAATCATGCTTGTACATGGCACACAATGAGGAGAAAGTCAATGTAAAGCACTGTAACTGCCAGCAGCGCACCTGCTCTATTAAGTTTTCCCTCTCATCAACCAGTTTTCGCAAGCGAATTTCTGAAAAGCGAGTTCAAAAGATAGACAATTAAAAACCAACATAATTTTTTCTTGCAGGTTTTTTTTTTTGGAAAGACAACTGTATATCCACTTCAATATGATAAGCACTTTTGGCTACATTCATACATTTTTAACAATTACAGTTACACATCTAAAACGTCTTTTGCAATAATAAAATATTACATTCTCATTTTAAAACAAATTCCAAAGTTAGACAGGAAACATTTCACATACCAGGGGTAAGAGGAGCCAAAGGCATGGAGGGGGAGGAGTCAGGGCATGCAAAAAGTGAGGCTATCCTATGCTGGGATGTGAAGGATGAGGATGGACAACATGCAGAAACTTCAGTGACCTCTGAGGCTTCAGCCTCATCTAGTCAAAATCTCAGCGTTCGCTCAATCTGTACATCTATTACATGACAGTGTTTTTCATGTGAGCTTACTTGAGGTTTGTGATGCAATGAATGTGACATACTATAATTCATGTCCTAAAAAATAAAACTTTCATGACTTAAAAATAAGTCAATCTTATCTGAAGCAGTTTAATTAAATGTCCTCTATCATTATACAAAAAAAACTTACACAATCAATAAACAATAGTGTAAAACATATATTTTTAATTGCTTAAGTTTTATTTTAAAATACATGGTTCACTTAACAAACACTATGTGTCAATACCATCTTCACCAAACAGAATAAAATATTTCATTTTTTTTTCTCCCAATCGTATCTCCCAACAAATAAATTGTAAAAACAAAACGTAACTTCAAAGCTCCAGTCAAATTTTTAGAGGAATGTTTAATAAGGTTGGCACACAATAACATTTTTTATTTACCACAATTTTAAACAACATGACACCCATTTAAACAAAATACATTACAGGTCCTTTGTTACCGAAAACATTGTAATTAAGAAGCTGCTAAACATGACTTTCTCATAAACAGTTAGTGGATATGCATATAAACAGCCTTTTAATTAACAGAGTAGAATAATCATGGCTTCCACCTTCTATTGGTGGCTTGTTAAAACCACTAAATCCTAATGGAAAATGTCTCAAAACACACCACAGGAAACCATTTTTTAAATGGTTTTAATGGTTAAAAGCTGATGGTTTGTTATGTTTGTAATGGTATTTGTAGTGGAAACCATTAGCATTTCTATGATGGTTTGCATTGTTTTCTCAGCAGAGAGGATAGTTTGTGATTTGGGCTTAGTGACTTAGGAGTCCTCTTCACTACTTCTAACATTTCACAGATTTAGGAGCTAGTTTCAGCGCTAAAACGCTTTGTGAAATACTCTTATAGCAAAAATGTAGGAGTCCTACATTTAGGATTGACACGCCCATTATTTTTAAGATTTTCTCCAAAATCGGCAAGTTATGAGCTACTTTTAGCCTTAAGATGTTTTGTGAATAC